AGTCTGCCTGCAGGTGGTCCACTTTGGTTCACACAGCTGCTCACTGGAATCTGCGCACACTTACCAATGGTATGGCAGGACTCTGAGGAGAATGTTTTTTAATTTGCATGTGTTTATGGAGTTCAGTGATTTATTTTGCCTTTAATTTGAAGTTTCATTGCACTATGGTCAGATAATATGCATCATATAATTTCAATTCTTTTGCATTTACTTAGGAATGGTTTATAGGATAGCATGTGATTTGTTTTGGGGAACCTCCCATGTGCAGCTGAGAAAAATGTGAATTCTGATGTTCAAGAGTCAAGACATTCACTAAGTCCATTTGTTTACAAGTGTAGTTTAGTTCTAATATTTCTTTGTTGATTTTTTTATCTAGTTGATCTGTCTATTTGTGACAGTGGGGCATTAAAGTCCCCCATTACAATCGTCCTAATGCTTATTAGATTTTTCCTGTCCATTAATGTTTATTTCATATATTTGGGTACAATAGTTTTGGTGCATATATATTTATGATTATTATCTCTTCTTCTTGGAGTTTTCCTTAACAAGTATGTAGTGATCTTCTTTGTCTGTGTGTTTTTTTTTTTTTTTTTTTTTTTTTTTTTTTTTTTTTTTTTTATTGGTACTGGGGATTGAACTCAGGTCCTCGGGCTTGCGAGGCAGGAGGCAGAATCACTGAGCTAAATCCCCGGCCTTCTTTGTCTCTTTTGATCAGACTTGGCTTGAAGTTTACTTTGTCTGCAAACAGAATAGCTCCCCCTGCCTTTTTCCAGGTTCCTGTTGCATAGAGTATTGTTTTCTGTCGTATGGCTTTGAGTTTATGAATTTCTTTCTGAATTAAATGTGTTTCTTGTATGTAGCATATTTTTGGATCTTGTTTCTTGACCCATTCTGCCAATCTGTTTCTCATGATTTGTAAACTGAGAGCATTTACATTTACATTGATGATTATAACTGATATATATTTACTTATTCTAGTCGTGTCATTTTCCTGTTGTTGGTTCCCTGTCTTTCTCCTATGTTTAAGTGCTTGTCTTTTCTGGTGGGTTCTTTCTACTGGCATTATAGGAATTATAGTCTTCATCATCTTTTCTAAAATAGTCTTCAAAACATTTTGGAGAGCTAGTTTGGTGGTCATGAATTTCTTCAGTTCTTTGTCATGAAAGTTTCTCATTTCTCTGTTGATTTTGAAAGATAGTTTTTCAGAGTAAATCAACCTGGTTTGGAGGTTATTTTCATTAAGTACCTGAAAGTCTTCTTCCTAGCTCTTTTTGACTTAAGGGTTTGTGTTGAGAAGTCTTCTTTGATTTCAGTGGGTTTTCCTTTATAAGTGATTTGTTTCTCTTCTCTATCAGGTATTAATGTTCCGTTCTATGCTGAATCCCTGCAATTTTCATAATTATACGCCTTGGTGTAGATTTATTTTGGTCATGGATAACTGGAGTTCTATATGCCTCACTTATTTATACATCAAATTCTTTTTCCAAGATTGGGAAGTTTCCTGCCATTACTTCTGTGAACAAGTTTGTACACCATTTGTGCAGTCTCCAGCTTTCTCATTAACTCTGAGCAATCTTCTTTGAGTCATCTTGCAGCTGTTGGGTTGATTTTTCATGGTCTGTGGCTATTTTTCAGATATATCTCTGTTTGTGGATGCTAACCACAATCCTATTTTCCTGGTCTGATATTCTGTCCTTGCTTTCATTCAATCAATTGCATATAACTTAAGGGGAATTTTAATACTCCTGGATATTTGTGTGACTGTTGCATGGATTCCATTTCTTTCCTATGTTGGGCATTCATGGTTTCTATAGTTTTCCTAACCTCCTGTATTTTGTGTCTGCTCTAGTTTCATTGAGCATGACTTTCATTTTGATTTTCATTTCCTTTTTTTAACCTGAGAGATTATTTTCTCTATAACTTCATTTGCATTTTTACTCTTGATGCTACCATTTCAAAAAACTGAAGTGAGTGGCTTCTAATTTCCTCTATCTCATTGTCCCCTGGACTTGTCTTGGGTGGCTGGAGGACTGTGGTTGCATTTTGCTTCTGTGTCTTGTCATTTTCTATTTTTCAATTTAATTTTATTTTCTGTTTGATGCTTGTAAATTTCCTGTGGCAAATACATTTGTCACTACTGTAGATCCTACCTTGGAAAGTGTTTGTTTCTCAGAACTGTCTTTTGGGCATATGTGGTTTTTGGTCTTTGTATCTATCCCAAGATCCACCTTCTCAATTTAGTAGGGATGAGAAGTTGCTATCTATTTGGCTCAACACCCAGTCTTTTGGTACTAGACTATGATGATAGTTATGATCCCAGATGATCACAGTGTTGTCATAAAAGGGAGAACAACTCATTACAATAGGTATGACATCCAGACTAAAGTAGTATGATTAGCAATAACAGTAGCATCAAGCATAGCCTAGAAACTGACAAACTGTGGTAACTAATTTGGTACCTTTAATGGTAGGAACAAGATCTACAGTTATATAACAAAATCCAACATAAACTATGACTTTATATGCAATGAGTTTCCCCTTAGTGCAGTGATTTTACCCTATGGGGCTTAAATTTAAGAGGGATAGGGTACAAAACAGAGATAAAGGGAAATATACAGCAAGGCTGTAGGACAGAGGACGATCATCCAAGATTTGGGAAACTGGAGAAGAGCACAGGAAAGAACGTATGAAGGATAAAGCAAAAGAACACTGAAGTGAACCAGAAAGACAGGAAACACTTTTTACTCACATTAAAATCTAAAACTAACAGAAATAGTTGAGGAAAGAGAGAAAGAAAATGAATAGAGCAAAATAAAAGCAAAAACCTAAACAACATAAAAAGCAAATAAGCAAACACACACACACAAAATAAACCCACACCCACCAGACAGAAAAAGAAAAGTGAACAAAAATAAATACATAAATTACTCTGGTGTCCATAGTTCTGTGGTATTGTCCAAGGCAGGAAATATCCCAAATCTGTGCTGAGTAACCCCAATAGGTCTGAACTAGGATCAGTGCTTGTTAAGGGGCTGATCTTTGCCTCTGTACATGAGGACTGGGGCCAGAGTCTTCAGCCAGCAGCTTTCTGGATGTCCCTGTCTGAATATCCAACCCACATATCCTTACTTTGATTGTCAATATGTCACTCTATCTACTGCTGTAGCACCCTCAGGCAGGGACAGCATGGGGCTGATCCCAGTCCTATGTACAGTTGACTCCTCCTGGTCTTTGCCCAACCTCCTCTGTTCCACCCCACTGCCATATCTCTATCCTGTTACACCACTTGTTGAAGGGGTTGGGGAGTTGCTGTTGCTGCCACAGTGCTGTTTGGTTACCCCTTCAGTCTCCTCTCTAGCAGGTTGAGTGCTGGCCTCCCAAGGCTATTTAAATCCTGTACATCTGAGTCTTTCTCTCAAGCCACTAGTCATCACTCAATTCATTCACTGCCTCCACTGTGCTGTGGTCCCTAACTCTGTTGTTTCAATAATTTCCAGTTAGCTACTAGGGTGCACAACAGGAAAAAAAAGGCTGACAGCCCATGTGTCGGGGGGAAGCATTTTCCTGGTCACTTGTTCCTGTGTTCCTGCAAAATTTGTTGCCAGGATGCAGTATCCTCTATGTAGAGGAAGCAGAAGAAGCAAGGGGCCTTATATTCCAGATCTATTTTGTGTGGCTTAAAGTAGCCACACTTTCACAATCCATCATTTTCTTGAAGACTTCGCAACATGGTGATTTTTGTTCCTTGGCAGACAGGTGGTGGTGCCCCTAGTAGCTCCATGGGCTGGTATGCTGTTGTATGAAGTTCTGTGCCTATGTTTTGTTTTATCTACAAGTCTCTTATTTCAGATTGACTTTGGTGTCAGGATGTAGGTCCTTTCCTTTCTTCCAGTTACTTGTCTCTTTAGTTGGTTTTCTCTGAGTAGCTCCAAAGTGGCTCCTCCTTTATTCAGCCATGTTGAATTTTGATATATCATCCTGAGCTCTTCTGCTCCCACAACTACAATATATGTCAATAATGAACAGAGTCTCATGTCTTTCAAAGTCACCATCTATCCCCGTGACAGTAGTGTCTTGTTTCCATGAATAATCATTACTGATACAAGGTCAATACACTTAATAATGATTAATTTATCTTCTTTTAAATGATTAGGCTGTTGTTTGATTTAAAAGGAGATGACTTTGTTTGCCTGCTAAATCTTTACAATGTCAATCTATTGCTTCCTATTTAAGGTGGAATTTCTTTTATATTTGACTTATTAATTGGCTTCTTCTGACCAAAGAAAAAAGTGGAAGGACAATGAGGTTAAGAAAATAAAAGTTAATCTATCTCCTATTTCTAATTCTGCCTAAGAAGGAGAATAGTGAGGTAGCTATTACTCAGGTTTATTTTATAGTTCTGGATTATTTTGAAGTGGTAACTAGCAGTTTTGTTTTAAAATTATGCTTTCAGCTTTTATCTTGTTAGTGGGGCTCACTGGGCCTTTCTCCTTTTTAAAATCTTTGGAAATTACTTTGGTAACTAATGCACTATACTGATTTCAGGTGTAAGAAGTAAAAATTTGTATTTGTTTGTCTTTAATCCTTTTGGACATTTCAGATTCTGATTGGGTGGAAAAAGAATTAAAGGCAAACAAAATACTGATTGCGGGACTGAGTCAAGGATTAGTTGGGCATTGCTAAATTGAAGGTACCTGTTGTAATTCCATCTAGCAACAGTTAGCAAGCAGATAGCAGATTCTTAGGGACTATGTCATTAATAGGGAAGCAGTGTGATGTAAGGAATTTTGGGCACTAAATTAAGAGACATGGGCACTCTAAAAGGCTAACTATACTACTAAATGCCTGTCTTGATTTTGATTACATCATTCTACCTCTCCAGGCCAAATCTTTATTGGAAAATTTCAAGACCATCACGTTTAATAAGTACTAGTCCAGATCAAATATGTTATTTTCATATATACATTCTGAGTATCTCAATTTGAAATCTGTTTTTGCAGCATTTAATATGAGAACCTATGTTTGCCGTATCTGTAGAATGACCTTTAGATCTTTAGATATGTTTTGGGCACACATGCAAGGAAGAGAACATCAAATCAAGTAAGTGGTTTTGTTTTTCTTTCTTGTTTTGTCGTTGTTGATGTTTTGCCAAAATGTTCCCATACCAAATATCAGAGCTTCTAGTCAAGTATCATTTAATATACTTTATAAACTTTGTAGGTATTCAGTTCTCATGGAATGAACCTAGATATAGTTGGTGGGTTTTGTAACATAGTTTATCCCCAAAGGAGCTCTCTAGTCATGATAGTATACTGTAGAGCTAGCTTATTGGTACTCACCTTGACCAGACAGCATAGTCTTTCTTTGGTGGCATGCTGAAGGATCATTCTTGGGTTAACCATACAAATTTAAAGCATCTAGACGCCTGGCTTAGTTCTAGGGTTTCAGTCATCCAGTCAGCCTTCTACCAGTGAGGTATAATGGTTAAAAACAAAGCCTTGAGATAAATATAAACATCCTGTACTCCAAACATGTACAAATAAAAAGAATATTAAAAAAATCAAAGGTCTAGATGTTAGATGTGAATCGAATATCATATCCATCTTTCTACCAAGTGTCACTTTGGATATCTTTGAAATAATATCGTTATAAGTAAATACATGTATAAAGTGCCTGGCCTGGTGCATCATAGGAACTCAATGAATGTTTAGTCAGTTCTATTTTAAGGAAAGGAGAATTGAAAAGTGGCTAAGTCACATAGTAGGACACTCATTTAGCTGCTGTATATTTGACCTGTCACTTTTAAAATTAGAGTATCTCTGTTACTTTATTCTTGGAGAAAGTATGTTGAGTCTGAATACATAGGAGGTAAGTAGTCTGACTTACCAAATTATCTTACCTAAAGGCCGGTTTTATCTTGGAGAATTGGTATTTTTTCTGGACGAGATTTTTTTATTACAACATGTGTGTGATATATATAATAAATACATTTATTGAGGGGGATTGATACCTATGCAATCACATCTTGATACATTTTACATCCCCTTTCCCATCCCTGTGTCTCATCTTTCCCTTCGTTAGATCCCTTTCCCAATTCCTCAAAGCCTACCTCCCTGTTTTCTCCTACATTACTTCCATTTTGCTCTTTAAAGTATTTATACAATGAATTTCTTGTATGAGAGAAACTAAGCAATCTTTCATCATTTATGTCTGATTTATTTTATTTAGCATTACGGTTTTAAGATCCATCCATTTTCCTCCAAATGACTTAAATTTATTCTTCTTTATAGTTGAGTAATATTCCATTGTGTATATGTACCTTATTTTATTTATCCAATAATCTGTTGATAGGCATATTCAAATTGAGCTAATATGATTTTTGCTGCTGTGAACAAGACTATGCATGTATCACTGGAATATGATGTCTTTACCTCTGTTGGGAAGGTACCCAGAAGTGATATAGCTGGGTCAAACAGAATTCTTATTTTTAGATTTTTAAGAAATTGCATACTGATTTCCATACTGGAGGTGCTAGTTTACATACCCACTAACAATGTAGAAGCACTCCTTCCCCCGCCCACAATCTCGCCAGAATTTGTTGTTTTTTGAGTTCTTGATGATAGTCACTCTTAGAGGAGCAAGACAGAATTTCAGTTATATTGATTGGCATCTCTCTGATGACCAGAGATGTTGAACATTTTTCATATTGGCCATATGTACTACATCTTCTGAGGAGTGTCTATTAATTTAAATTGCCTATTTTGTTGTCTTTTATTTTGAGAGATCTAAGTTTTACGAGTTCTTCGGGTATTCAGACATGTTGATCAATGGAACAGAATAGAGAATAGAGAATGCAGAAAAAGTCATCATGTATTTTATAATGAAGTAGGTTTTAAATTTTTATTTGCACTTTTGTTGATTTCGGTTTTTAGAGCAATATTTTTGAAAGCAAATAAAATATTCAAAGTGAGATATTCTATTAACAAGAACTCTGTGCTGTTTTCTTTGCAGGGAATCTCTTGTTATCAGTCTAGTGAGAAATTCAAGGACACAAGATGATTACCAAGATGAATGTGCAAATTATATCAAACTACAAAAATACGGAGAACAAGAGTCCAAGACTCATTTCAGAAAAATGGAAGAAAACTCTTTGGAAGCTCATGGGTGCAGAGGAGTGGTTGATTCTGGACTTACATATAAAATATTTGAACAAAGACTACATTTTGATACTTGCCAGACATATCCAGGACCATACAATAATTCACAAGCAGTGAAAAACCAATTACCTCATTGCTTACCAGCTCATTTAGAGAAGACTTATGACTCTTTCCAAGATGAACTTGAAGACTATATCAAAGTGCAGAAAGCTAGAGGACTACATCCACAGACTTGTTTTAGAAAAATCAAAGAAAACTCAGTGGAATCTGGATACAGAGAAATGTTTGATACTGAGCTCAAACAAAAAATATGTGAGCAAAGATTTTCATGTGAGACTTTCCATAGCTACCCAGAACCATACAGTAGTTCACTAGTGGATGGTGATGTACCACATTGCTTATCAGCTCATTCAACGAAGACTTATGACTCTTTCCAAGATGAGCTTGATGCTTATATCAAAGTGCAGAAAGCCAGAGGTTTAGAGCCAAACTCCTGTTTTAGAAAGATAGTCAATACCTCTGTGGAAACTCATAGGTACAAAGAAAGTTCTGATAATAGACCCAGACATAAAATGTTTGAGCGAAGACTTCCAGTTGAAACCTTCAAGACTTACACAGAATTATACAGTGTTTCCCAAGCAGTAGAAAACCAGTTGCCTCAACCAGGTCCTGACAGAAAACAGACATTTGATTCTGTGAGCTATGAATTCAACAGAGGATATTTTCCAGAAAAACCAGTACCCCTGAGCTTTGGTCATCAAGAAAATAACTCTGGCCCATACAGCACAGAATGCGAAGTTTACAAACGCCTCTCATTAGAAAACCATATTAGTGACCTTGGAGCAGATTATAAACACCGACATCAGAAGAGACGACAGTATGTGGAGGAAGTCAAACAAAGACCAGAGAAGGAACAGTCCAAGCATAAAAGGAAAAAGAGTTACAAGGAAGATACAGATTTAGACAAAGAGAAAAACATACACCAAAGTAAAAAGAAAGAGGACAAAGTCAGGGGCAGTTTAGGCAAGCTTAAGCATCGAAAAAAGAGAAAAAGCCACGATGTAACTTCTGAAAAAGAACATAAGCACAAGAAAGAGAAAAAAAAAACTGTTGAGGAAAGGACAGTAGAGGAAATGCTTTGGGATGAGTCAATTCTTGGATTTTGAACTTTTAGTTTACCTGAGGATTGTTTAAAGAAAACGGCATAAATGTAGATAATGACAGGAACATCCAGTGAAGAAAAGGAGTGATAGATAATACTAGACTGGGAAAGGTTTTTTTTTTTGTGTGTGTGTGTGTGTGTGTGTGTGTGTTTGCGTGTGTATGTGTGTAAATCTTTAATCAAAAGAGGAAACAAAAAAGTCTAAATCTAGTCTTTGAAAATTAACATAAGGAAAAGCTATTGAAGAAAATACAGAAGAGTCAGTATTTTGAGGGAGTCTATTCTTGTCTTTTGAAGTTTTAGTATTTTTGATACAAGGATAAATTGAAGAAATTAGTGAAAAAAACTTTTGACAAAAACAAGTGTGTGTCATATGAGAAGAAGAATAGATGCATGGTAGTCCAGGGAAGTAGATTAGTCCCCTCCTTCCCTCTATGTCTCCCTTCCTTTTTTGAAAACATGAAATTTTATTGAGAGAAGAAACAAACAAAAAAGTCCTAAACTTAGCTACTAAGATACAAGACTATAACATAGAAAGATCATGAGAAAATAAAATCATTAAAAGAAAGCAAGAGCCAGTGCTTTGGCATGAGTCTACTCTTGGTTTTTACACTTTGCAGTTTTGTTCACTTATAATTGAAGAAACAAGAAAGTTCGGTTTCATTAAATTCATGTTACTAGAATTTTTCTATGTGGACAGTTAATTTCTGGTTTTTAAAAAAATGAAGTAAAAGTATTCAGTATTCCTTTTCCTCGTTTTCTAAAAAAATGAAAGAATAATTAAATATTTCTTACAAAGAAAATAATTTTCCTAAATGTAAATGGGGTTGTCTCTACTTTGCTCATCAAATTGCTGTGATAGTGAATTACTTATCAATTTATTTTAAATTAGAGAATTACCAAGGCCTGCATTATACAGCCAGACCACCCTGAACCCTCCTGATCTTGTTTGATCTTGAAAGCTCATTAGTGTCAGGCCTGTGGGAGAGCAGGCATTACAGAATAGATTCCTTTTTGGGGTTTGTCTTAGTGTTGATGGTATTCTTTTATTGCTGTGTGTTTATGTTTTTTGGATTTCTCAAAGAAAAATGTATGAATTAATTTCAGCTGGTATTTTTTGTTGAACATGATCTGCAGTGTTTTTTTATTTGTAGTTCTGAGTGTGGAAATTAGTCTATAATCTTAGATAATACATTCTAAAATTTGTCAAAAGTGCTGATATAGAATTATTGTATATTCTGTAATGTTTATAATAAAGTGTTTTAATTTTTACACATTATTTTATGTAAATGATCATTTTCCATCTAAAGATGATTGATGTAAGAGTAAGAGGGGCAATAATGAAAGAGTTTGCACTTTAATATATCTGGGGAGATCACACTTTCAAACTTCAATATTTTCATTTCTTCTTCATCTTGCATAGTAGAAGCTGTTATTCTATCTTGAACTCACTAGCAGGTTAGAAAAATATGATCAACTAAACACTTGAAAATAAAGAAGGAAAAAATTTCAGTAGTAGAGGGCCATGAAAGTTTATTACTTTTAAATTATTTGATTTGAATTAAATGTTTTTTACTCTGATTTTCCCTTTCTTGTGATCACCACTCCAATAACCATTTGCCACTGTGGTATAGTACAATGTAAAGGCTTGGTAAACCAAATTAGAGTATTCAGTCCCAATTGTACCATAAAGTTGCTTTGTGATTTTGTAGGCATACCAATAGAATACCATGTAAAGTCATGCAGCAATAGGAAAAAAGTGGTTATACTTACTTTGCATGGAAATACTTATCAAAATAAGTAAATTTTGATGATGACATATCCATTTTATTCACACCATTAAGTGGTTTTTTGAGAGTTGAATAAAATAATACATATGTGCTAAAAAGTATTGGCTGAGTTCATATGTAACAAAATAACACCAAAGAGTGAGATAGTCCTCAAATCAAATTTTTTCATGAGACTGTTCATGTAAGATTATTTTAGCTCAGTGTGCTACTGCACACCAATAATCCTCCTCACTCATAAGACTTGAGATTCTCTTGGGTTACATAGAAGTTCAAGGCCATTCTCCAATATATATTAAGACCCTGTTCCAAAAATCCAAAAGAATATCAATCCTCCCTTTTTATTTGTACATGCTACTTATATATAATAATGGGTTTCATTTTGGCACATGTAACATTTTGATTTTTTCTACCCTACCATTTCCTCCTTGCTCATTTATTTCCAATCACTTTATAATGTACCTCTTCTCTAATAGTTTCTCTTCTTTCATTTCACTGTTCTTTTCAAAGATTCCACATATGAGAAAATGTGATATTTGTCTGAATCTGGCTTATTTCACTTAATATCATCTCCAGTTCCATCTATTTTCTTGCACCTTACATGATTTTATTCTTTATAGATGAGTGATAT